CAGGAAATGAATCTAATTGGTTGTCTGGCACAGTTACTGGCAATGCTGAGCAGATGCTGGTGCTGATGTCCAACTCAGAAAGGTTTGGGAGGTCACCTTCAGAAAGGTTTGCTCGTAATAGGTCCTTTCTGGGTTACAAACATTATAAAAGGTCGTCCAATAGGCAAGAAGAACTAAAGCTCCGACTATGAGGCTCGGGTTCATTCACTAGGGGCAGGTGAGGCAGAGCTGAGGCTGGGTGTCCACAGACACAAATGGTCAGTTGGATGCACCTCTTTGCCACGCCCACTTTTCCTCATGCTTGTGGCCATATGCATATATTGACCGAGGCTTCCTACTAAAACTTCTAGTTGTGCCGTTACTACACTTACCCCAAGTTGTGATCAGGCAGCATGGGCCCTTCATTTTGCTGCCTTGGAGCGATTGCATTTCTGTACCTGTTAATGCCTCTCAGTTAGTTTACCATGGGCAGTTATTTATTTTAATGTTCTTTCTTTCTTTCCTTTGTCTTTCTTCAGTCTCTTCTTGCCTTTATATTTTCTCTCTCTTCTCTTTTGTCTCATTCTTTCCTTCCCTCTTCCTTTGTCTTCCTCTTAATATGTCCTTTTTCTCTCTTCCGCTGACAATCCCTGCTACTTATGTTGAAGAGCCAAGAAAATAATCTCTGATAAGCTTAATAGTAGATGATAGATCTCCAACAAGTGAAGGAAAGACCTGAATGTGTTTTTCTCCAACAAGTAAACATATGTTAGATTTAAGGGATTAAGTAATCTCCATACTAGAGGATTTTTACAATCTTATCAAATTAAATCGTAGAACTCATGATCTTTTTTTTACTTTGTGATATTTCATGAATGTACATTTCTTTGCAAATATGTTTTTTCAATTTTTTTTGTTAAAGTTTATTTCACAAACAATGTTTTAACCAAGTTAATGGAAGTGTTAAGAAGAGAAAGAAAGCCCTAGCTGGTTTGGCTCAGTGGATAGAGCACTGGCATGCAGACTGAAGGATCCTGGTTTCAATTCCAGTCAAGGGCACATGCCTGGGGTTGTGAGCTTGATCCCCGGTAGAGGGCAGGCAGAAGGCAGCCAATCAATGATCCTCTCTCATCATTGACATTTCCATCTCTTTCCTTCTCCCTTCCTCTCTGAAATCAATAGAATATATATATTTTAAAAAAAAGAAGACAAAGAAAAAAATAATTCACAATCCTACCTGTAACAGACTTGCTGTTTCTATGTTTTGTACTAGTATTTGTCAAAATTTTTACATAATCTTTATGGAGTATAAATCATAGGTAAATTTAATTTTGCATTCTTCTTCACTTTATGTACTTTCATAAATGCTTTCTTTTTTTAAAAAAATATATTTTTATTGATTTCAGAGAAGAAGGGAAAGGGAGAGAGAGATTGAAACATCAATGATGAGAATCATTGATCAGCTGCCTCCTGCACACCCCTACTGGGGATTGACTCCACAACCCAGGCATGTGGCCTTGACCGAAATCGAACCGGGGACCCTTCAGTCCCCAGGCCGACGCTCTATCCACAGAGCCAAACCAGCCAGGGCTATAAGTGCTTTCTTGAAAGTTATTTTAAATGGTGGTACAATAGTCCACTCAATGCCGAAGGGAATTAACATTGATAGGGTACCTAGTATGCCTGGCACTGTGCAAAATGTCTGTATTTGTTTCATTTTATCTCCATTTAGTTATGTGTGATGAATGTTATTTTATTTTTTAAAATATATATATTTTTTATTGATTTCAGAGAGGAAGGAAGAGGGAGAGAGAGATTGAAACATCAATGATGAGAGAGAATCATTGATTGGCTGCCTCCTGATCCTATTGAGGATCGAGCCTGCAACCTGGGCACGTGCCCTGACCAGGAATCCAACTTTGACCTCCTGGCTCATAGGTCAAAACTCAACCACTGAGCCACGCTGGCTGGGCTGATGAGTGTTATTATATTCATTCATTTCATGAGGAAATTGCGGCTTAGCTTAATTTATTTCAGTTTAACTAACATTAATTGAGCTCTACTACGTTCTAAGTACCATACTGAGTTCTGGGGATTCAAAGATGAGTGGGACATGGTCCCTCCTGTATGGAATTCATAAAACAGTGGGTAAGCCAGTTAGTAAAAAGATCATTTTAATTCAGTCTGCTAAATGCAGCAGCATAGACAAACACCTGCCCGGGTTAGGGTTGTCAGAGCAGGTTTGCTTCTCAGACTTTGGTGTGCCTTTGAGTTCCTAGGGCACTTGTTCAAAGGCAGATTCTGGCTTTTGGGTTTTTCGTGGGATCTGAGACACTTAATTTTTTTTAAAAAATATATTTTATTGATTTTTTTTACAGAGAGGAAGGGGAGAGAGATAGAGAGTTAGAAACATCGATGAGAGAGAAACATCGATCAGCTGCCTCCAGCACATCTCCCACTGGGGATGTGCCCGCAACCCAGGTACATGCCCTTGACCGGAAACGAACCTGGGACCACTCAGTCCGCAGGCCGACGCTCTATCCACTGAGCCAAACCCGTTTTGGCGAGGCACTTAATTTTAATAGGTTTCTAAGTGCTGCTGCTGCTGGTCCACACATCTCATTTTGGGTGGGAATATCTTAGACGATGTAGGACGTGAATTAATATCTGTTAGGTAGAGAAATGGGTGAAGGTATTCTAGACAGAGTAGCGTGGGGAAGGCATTGGAGCATAAGCAAGTGTGTCATGTGGGTCAGCTACTTATAATCTACGGCAGGTATTGGCAAACTATGGCTCGCTGACTGAAGCCAGCCCATGGTCTGCTTCATATTGTCTATGTGCTAGGCATCGTTTTTACGGTTTTCAAAGGGTTGTTAAAAAAACACACACCCCCAAAACCCCCAAAACAAAGTAGAAAATAAACGGAGATGCACAAAGCTTGAAAGATTTACTACCCAGTCCTTCAAAGAACAAGTGGGGCCCCTGCCAAGGGGTGTTGGTAGCACTGGGGAGTGTAGATGTGTCCTGAGCGAGACAGCAGGCAGGGCGAGGGCCACCGGGGATGCAGAGGAGTTGGCCTTTATCTGTGAAGCAGGGTTTAAAGACAAGAGTCACAGGCTCAGGTTGGTTTTAGAAAAATCTCTCTGGCAGAATACAGGTACCGGGGGCGGTGCTGGAGGCCGGGTACCAATGGGAGGCCGGAACCGAGGCAGATGGGGTAGGAGGAGACGGAGTTGAGAACTGCCTTGGACAGTTTTTCAATCCCTTTTGACTGCGACCTACAGGAAGATAAACATTTATTTCATGACCCAGCACACACAGATACATGCACACACCAAGCAAGACTTGTCACTCAAAACATTTGTCTTCATTGTGGATAAACTGAAATATTTTTTCATTTCCTTAAAGAAAATGCTACTTACTGCCCACTAAGTTGATTTCATATTGAGTCATAACCTCCAGTTTGAAAACCACCTATCCAGGGGGGTAAACACCGTGGGATTTTGTCGCCGATTTGATGTAAGGCCGTAGGGAATAAGGATCCTGCCATGGTGAATGGTACTGCCCCAACCAAAATCAGTACTAGAAAGGAAGCCATTTGGCAGGTGGAGACGACTCAGTGTTTCAGGGTTTGAAAAGCTCTTCCAGGCCAAGCTAGAAAGTCTGCATTGTTTACAACATTGTCAGCGTTCCTAACGGGAGGAGGCAGCATGAATTTAAAATAACTGCCTTATATGGAAAATGTGTAAATTGGGGAGTAACTTGTACATTTTGCTTTGAGATGCTGATTTAACTGGGTGCTTACATATTAGAAAAAGATGAATATTCTTTTTTTTAAAAACAAATGAATATTCTGATGTATTAAAATATTTATCCAAGAGAGAGTAATCAGATCACATTAATTAGTTTGTGTATGGCAGTGTATGTGTGCAGTTTGCTTTGGAAACGTATGCAAATACACGACCAGAGGGTCACCAGGGTTTGCTTCCTTGACTTATTCTTGGTCAATGTAGAATCAGTGGCATTTGTCCACACCCTTCTCCCTGACAGAGTCATGATCCGCTGTTGGAATTGTTAAAGAATGTTTCTTAAATGGACCTTATCAGTGTACATAACGTAGATATGTACCTAAGTTAAAAGGTTATTTTTTTACTAGTAAATAATGCCTTCTGAATTCTCTCTGTAGATTGAATACCTGCTTAAGAAACTGACAGACGCGATGGGAGGAGTTTGGCAGCAAGAGCAATTTGAAGATTATAAAGTCAACTTCGACGACGGGAAGGACGGCCTCTCGGTGTGGGAGCTGATTGAGCTCGTTGGAACCGGGCAGTTCAGCAAAGGCATGGACCGGCAGACGGTGTCCATGGCCATCAGTGAGGTCTTCAATGAGCTGATACTAGATGTGTTGAAACAGGTAAGACTCCTGTAACACCGTGTTTCTTCTCACCTTTGGAGTTTGACATGTTTGAACTCAGACAAATTTTCATCACAAAGATGAGTATAAGTCACTTATACTTTTACACGGATTTAGAGCTGAACAAAGTCTCTTATTTTCTCAGGCTTTCCTTTTGCAGAATTACAGGTGCATTTCTGAAGTATGGTTAAGCATTGGAGTTGCTATTTTTAAAAAATATATATTTTTATTGATTCAGAGAGGAAGGGAGGAGAGAGAGAGAGAGAGAGAGAGAGAAAGAGAGAGAGAGAGAGAGAGAGAGCGAGAGAGAGAGAGAGAGAAAGAAATCTTAATGATGAGGGAGAATCATTGATCAGCTACCTTCTGCCTGATTGGGGATTGAGCCCCCAGCCCGGGCATATGCCCTGACCGGGAATGAAACTGACCTCCTGGTTCCTAGGTTGACGCTCAACCACTGAGCCACTGCGGCCGGGCGGAGCTGCTATTTTGAAAGAACTGTTTAAATGATCACATTCGCAAGTGATTTTTAAAGGACTCTCATGTCATGGGTACCTCCACGCCTGTCCATCTGAAAGGTCCCCACGGCGTGTTGGTGAGCAGCAGCCTTGTAGTTCCTTTCGCGGTGTGAGGTGTGGGCACAGAGCGGTCTGGAAGGGTGATCAGCAGAGTGTTGGAGTGATCACCTCTAGATTGTGGAAGTTCTGCGAACTTTATTTTCTTCTTGATTCCTTTCTTACTGTTGGACTTAGCAACATACATGAATTTATGTATATGGTTATATATTATTTTTATAAAATCAGAAAAATGCGCTTATTTTTGGAAGAAAACCCCTTTGCATAACAAAATTGCACTTGTCTTATTAGATTATGATATTTATTTTCTCAGCACCTGCAAAGCAACTGGTAATCATATGGGGAGATTAATGCTTGTTAAATGGAATGTATATATTTATTAGTGGATCTTTCAAATTTCTTATCCTATATAGTAAAAGGCTAATATGCATATTGTCCCCTCCACCAGGAGTTTAACTAGGGGGCGGGGCTGGCTGGCCAACCACCCGCAGCTCCTCCCCCGACCCAGCCCATCCCTGATCATCACCCCTCACCCAATTAGGGTGGGCCGGCTGGACCCCACCCATGCACCATTTGTGCACCAGGCCTCTAGAATTATAATATTGAATAATAACTCCAATTTGTGATTTCCTTACTTTGGTCCTTTTTTTGCTCAGTAGGTAATATTGTCATCCTTGCTCTTTTTCCCTAGTGGAGCCCATCAATAAACAGTAGTTGAGGCTTAATTTGTATAGGTTTTTGGAGCTTCGAGGAGATATAAGACATGATCTCTGCGCAGGAGGACTAAGCCCATCAGGACGGCAGGATAAGAATTACAGATGAATTTCAGTGAGGGATAGCTTAAAAATATTAGAAAAATTACAGTTTACTTTCAGTATTATTTTGTATTGGTTTCTGTACAGCATAGTGGTTAGACAATCATATATTTTACAAAGTGTTCCTCCTGATATTTCCGTTACCCACCTGGCACCACACATAGTAATTACAGCATTGTTAATGCTGTTCCCTTTGTTTTACCTTACATCTCTGTGCTTATTTTGTGACTACCAATTAGTGCTTCTTACTCCCTTTGCCTTTGTTGCTCCGCCCCCTGTACATTTAATATTTAAATGCCAGCTATTCTTGAACAGCCTTGAAAGGCTATAATCAGGTGTAATTTTGTTGAAGTAAAAGTTTGAATTATATACCTTTGAGGCTGATATATGGGGAGGAAGTACAGACTTACAAGTATGCATAGAAGGTACACGTAGAAGCCAGTATCGTTACCTATTGCTTCTTTCTTTCTTTGATCATCTGGAGCAGAGTTCATCCTCCAGAATACTGTGAGGTCAGGTAGAAAGGTAAGTTGGTGTCAGAAGGTGATTGGCTGAGTAGTATATCTGGCTGTTAGCACCTTTTAGCATTTTTATTGGACTGAGGGTTTGATTTACTGAGAGTACTGTTGGGGTGTGTGTGTGTGTGTGTGTGTGTGAAGCAAAATAGACTGCATAGTATAATGAACTCCAATATATCCACCACCCAGTCCCATCAACCGCTAATACATGGTGAATCCTATACTACCTACTTTTGCTTCTCCTGTATTGTCTTGAAACAAATCTCAGATATTTCATTTTATAAAATTTATAAATGTGCCCTTGACCAGAATTGGACCTGGGACCCTTCAGTCTGCAGGCCGACGCTGTATTCACTAAGCCAAACCAGCTAGGGCAATATTTATAAATATTTCAATAAGCATCCCTAAAATATATGGAATTTAAAAAAAAAACTACGATGCTATTAACATCAGGGATTCTAAAGTCTACTATCTGCCTGGCCGGCATGGCTCAGTGGTTGAGCATTGATCTATGAACCAGGAGGTCATGGTTCAATTCCTGGTCAGGGCACATGCCTGGGTTGCAGGGTGAATCCCCAGTGGGGGGTGTGCAGGAGGCAGCTGATCGATGATTCTCTCTCATCATTGATGTTTCTATCTCTCTCCCCCTCTCCTTTTTTCTCTGAAATCAATACAAATATATATATTTTAAAAAGTCTATTGTCTATTTAGCTTTGCAGGGAGGAAAGAGGTGTCTAAAATTCTGCATAGGCTTTTGTTTGCATGTGCTTATGTGAATTTGACTAGGAATAGTGTCCCTGGCTTTCATAGATCCTCAAAGGGTTCATGATCCACAAAGAGCAAGAACCATCTATCAGATAATGGAGTAGTTAGGAATATCAAGGAAGAGAGATACAGGCATTTATGTCAGATTTAATCTCTTATAGGGTTACATGATGAAAAAAGGCCATAAACGGAAAAACTGGACTGAACGCTGGTTTGTACTAAAACCCAACATGATTTCTTATTATGTGAGTGAGGATCTGAAAGATAAGAAAGGAGACATTGTCTTGGATGAAAACTGCTGTGTGGAGGTAAGAGCTGTTACCTCTTTGCGGTGCTGCCTCCTGCTGTTCAAGTAGCTTATCTTCCTTGTAGACTTCAGGTCCTCAAAATAATCTTAAAACTTAATTTCCAACATAATATAGGCTAAAGTTGCAATAAAAATTAAAGATACCTGACAGAATTTTTTCTAATGTGAATCTGTCTTCTATCTTATACTCGTGAACAAAGGGTAGGGATTGAATCGCGTTCGTTTGTACATTTACGGAATCATTATTGAATAAAACTGAATCATCAAAAGAAAATAAAGCAAAAAAATCAGTTGAAATAATGAACATACCAGCAACTCTGGGCCATTTTGAGTGCAATGAATAAAACGGTTCTCTTGAGCAATACCTTTGAATACTTTCAGTGACTTTCAGTACATTTTATTCATAACTGTTCTGTCAAGAAGTGAAGTCCTCAAGAACATACATTTTTAAGTATTTATATCTGAACTATTACCAGGCCTGTCTTTGTTGAAGACCATTTCGAATACCTACGATCTTACTCATAAATGATAATGTATTTTGATGGATGAAATGGTATAGAATTAATGTTCTAGGGTGTGCAACGCCCATTAAGGTTTTTTTTAGATTCAGCTAAACATGGAAAATCACAAAGATTACAATAGGCCATACCAGTCTTCTTATAAGGATGTGGGTCAGGAACCGCAGCTTTCCAGCACTAATCTAGGTGTAAGGAGAGGAGAGGGGTGCACCCCTCTGGCAGGCGTGGAAATCACTCTGGCTTAGAAGCCTCATTGCTCAGAGGAGTGAGTACTTGTAGTAGTTCCGTGGGTGTACCTCCCAGGGCTCCTGTAAAGGACGTGCTCAGGTGCGAGTCACTGTGCCAGGGAAGCCCAAAGCATGGCATCCCCATCAGATGGTGGTTCTCCTGGTCAGGATTTGGTATACTGATCAGGAGTCATTGTTCCCATAAGTAAAGTTGCCCAGGGGATAGAATTAGTGAATCAGCTATATGCATTCAGAGGTATTTTTCATTAACATTGAATTCCAGCCAGATATGTATAAATAATTAAGATTGAATTTAATTTAAAAGCTTAAAAATAATATCTTAGCCTTGGCCAGGTAGTTCATTGGTTAGAGCATTGGCCTGATGTGCCAGGGTTGTGGGATGGATCCCAGGTCAGGCACATACAAGAAGCAACCAATGAATGCATAAGTGGAACAACAGAAGTCTATGTTTCTCCCTCCTTCTCTCTCTCTGTAAAAAAACAAACAGAAAAAACAACAACAAAAAAGAACTAACGTGGCTTTCTGTTTGTTTTAGTCTTTGCCTGACAAAGATGGAAAGAAATGCCTCTTTCTCATAAAGTGTCTTGATAAGACCTTTGAGATCAGTGCTTCAGATAAGAAGAAGAAGCAGGAGTGGATTCAAGGTAAGGTGACTTTTACTATTGGTCATGATGTCTCTCGAAAGCTCTGACTTTCTATTTTTGAAGTTCATGAAAGATGCCGAGGCCTTGTTCCCTTCTTGTCTGTGTTATTACTGGTGTGACATGGTAGCTTAAAGAAAAACAAATCAAGAGCAGTTTCCAAATTTTTAGTCAATTTCATTTTTGTAATCATCTTACGGGAAAATTGTAAACTGGACATTTTGAGTGTTATTCACTCCTGCTATTTGAAGAGTGTGGAATTTCCCCTTTTAACAACTGTGGAGAATTTTAAAGTGACCGTCAAAGAATGAGACACTATATATTAGATTTTTTAAAATGATGGGGAGATTTCTGAATATGATATTCTTGGACTTAGTTATGTTACTGGGACCCCAATTTTTTTTTTGAGTCCACCTGCCTGTGTGCACTAGCCCGAACAAATGCAGGCGCAGGAGTTTGCAGAATAGAAAGAAGAATAGTTTAATATTGAAGTGACCAATCCAGCGATGGGGAGCTAATGCTAAAAACCCGACTCCCCTGTGGCACATAGGTTAAGATTATATAGGGCAAAAATCGCAAGACACTGAGGGGTAGGGGTTCCGGGTCCGGCTGGGAGCTGACAGGTTGGAGGTGAGGTAAGGGTAATGAATCATTTCTTCAGGTCTAGAGGACAGTTCTGAGGTCTGCTCAGGCGTCCCTCTGTCTGGGCTCTTGGGGAAGTAGCTGGGCTTCTCCACTTTAGGGCTCAGGAGCCGAAACATAACTTAGGTCAAGATGTTATCTTAGTCTGGACCTTGTGACCATTAGTCAGGTCTGGGCTGTCTTCTGCTGCCTCCGGGGTGGCTGATTATCCAGGGGAAAAGCCAGGTTTCTGAGGGGTATACCGAGAGAAATAGTATTTTTAGAGCTAGGATTTAAAACTAAATGTAGTCGAAGTCATAGGGACTCTCAGTGTCAGGCGAAAAAAGATTGCATTGCAAGTTGTGCTCTTTCTTGATGTGGTTTAAGAGTGTGAGGCAAGCCCAGCTGGGTTTGAATCGTCTTTCCTGAGTTGTGTAGGCTGAGTTATGAATTCTGTAGCTGCTTCCCTCTCCTGTGGAATGGGAACAGTAACAATACTGCCCCCTAGGGTTGTTGTAAAGGTTGATAATTAAATAATGAAGTTATATTCGCATATTTAAAATGATACATCCTTGCAGAAATGCTTGCGATACGTTGCAAGTAACCTAAATGTCCATTAATTGGGAAATGGTTGAATACATTACGGTACAGCTATGCAGTAGAGTACTGTGCAATACTTTGTGTAGTGATATGAAAGCTCTCAAGGATAAATTAAATGAGAAAACCAGGGCTCAGAAGAGTGTGCTATGCCACTGTTCGTGTCAAAAGGAGGCGGAGGATGTATATACATATTTACTTGTATATTCTTAATCTATTTCTGGAAAGATGCCCAAGGAACTGTTAGCAGTGGTTGCTGGAGGAGAGGGGAACTGGTACTTGGGGATAGGAGTAGGAGAGAGACTTCCTCTAAGTCCTTTCATGCTTTTGAATTTGAACAAAAGTATTAACTATTAAAAAAAATTATACAAGTGAAACCATCAGGAAAGAAATTAGGTTTTACATAAAAGTTAGATAATGCACGGAAAGGGTATACATATAGTAAGGATTCAATAAATGGAGGCTACTATTAACATCTCAGGAGTAAGGTATATAGGGAGACGGTCTCAAAAGGCGTAGATGTCCGGCAAACTCAACACAGCAGGTAGCAAATCAGATACCGGAACTTTGAATCTCAGCCCTTACTATGGCTAAATCATAGCCTTTTGACAAGTATGGGGAAGGGAGTGGAAAGTGTTATTTATTTGAAAGTGTTGTTTTAAATAAATTCTTCAAATGTGTGTGGTATTTCTGAATCAGGCATCTATTTAAGCACAGATATATAATTTTGGAATTTTGGGACTAAAAGTGACTTTAGAGATGATCGCTCTCATTTTAGAGATGAGGAAACTGATGCTCAAGCCACGGCGTGACCTTGGCGACTTGCTCAAGGTCACACCGATACTCAGTGGCCGAGTCAGACTCTACACGGAGGTCCGTCTGGCTTCCTTCCCACTGTGCCTTTGCATGTTAGGGTTACAAAGAATAACCGGCATTTCCCGTGTTCTCTCTGCACCTTTCACAGCCATTCACTCTACCATCCACCTGCTGAAGTTGGGCAGCCCCCCGCCGCACAAAGAAGCCCGCCAGAGTCGGAGGGAACGCCGGAAGAAGCTGCTGGCTGAGCAGGAGGAGCTGGAGCGGCAGATGAAGGAGCTCCAGGCTGCCAACGAGAACAAGCAGCGGGAGCTGGAGACCGTGCGGAAGGTGAGGAGAGCGGAGCGGACGCTGGGCGGGGCCCGGAGGGCTCTTTGCATCGCAGGAGCCACAGCTGCCTCACTTCTGAGCTTTGATTTTACTAAGACCAGGTTACTGCAGTTTTGGGGAGTTTTTTTGGCGAACCGTGTTCCCAGGAAGTGTATCTACACCCTCAGGACACCCTGGTTTCCCCAGCCTGGAAGGAGGAGGGCCTCGGGGAGCAGGGACATTGCACTGACCAGAGAAGCATAGTTATAAGAAAGCACACTTGAATTTTGTCAGAGAAGGTTGAGAAATGTTGTTCCCCTGATGTCACGGTCACTTTTGGCGACCTGGGGAGAGTCAGTTGCTTTTTCAATTTTTCCCCTTTGCTCTCATCTTCACTCGTGAGGACCTTAGGAGACCCTGAGTGTAGAATTGTGGGTTTTACTTACTGCTCAGAGTCAGTGGTCAGTCTGGGTCAGCTTCTCCTCCCGTCTCAGGGCTACGGGTCAAGTACCATAGGCCATACAGCTATGGTAGTTGTTGACGGTCACTGGGCGATCTTGTTCCTTGGTTATGTCATGGTTTTGGTGGGGGTGGGGAGTTGGTGGTGAGTGCCCAGCGTGTGGCCCTGGTCTTTACCTGGGATACCTCTGGGTTGAGCCCGTCTGCCTGAATCACTGAGCACGTGTGAGCCATGAGCCGAAAGACCTGTGTGTCCTCCTCTGCAGCACCTTTGTCCTGGGATGTGGGGGTTGCTTATAGTATTGTTATCGGTGGAAGGGGGATGTCCTTTCCCCGCTGAGTGCTTTGGGTGGAGTCCTTACAACATCTCAAGAAAAAGAATTTTCTGAGACTCGCACAGGAAGATGAGTGACTTTTATTAGCATGGAATTACATCTCTGGGTTTCAAAGTCCCATTTCCCTTAGTCCGGTCCTGGAAGGAGGGACTCAGTAGAGCTAAAATCAGAGCCAATGGCCAGAGTTTTGGTTGCATGTGGCAGCCGGTCCAGTTCAGCATCAGGCTAGTTGTAGTCCTTTAGTCCTTTGTGGGTGAGGTCCACATGGCCACGGGCCATCTGGGCTCCAAGGGGAGCCAAGAGAGGATTCCCCCTGCAACACGAATCCGGAGGGAGCCAGAGGCCAAGAGCGCAAGAGCGCAAGAGAGTGGACTTCTTTGTTTAGGAGATTCAGTGTCTCAGATCTACCCACACTTGCAGTGGCCATGCCAACTCTGGCCAATGATCTGTCCCCAGGTGTGACTGACAGGAGAGCACCCTCCCTGTTTCATCCAAACTTTACTGGGCCTGTGTCTATCAGGGAATAGACCAGACCAGAGACTCCCTGCGGAGTGTGAAGCTGCAGCTTCCTGGCAAAGCTGCACAAATGACCTGCCCATGATGTTTGGCCTTCTCTTTGCTCCTTTCCGGTTATCCATAACTAGGTTAATTACAGCCGTATCAGGATAAGGCCCCTCATTCCTGGTGAGGTTCTCTCTTTGCTACCCATGGAAATACCACACTTTATGCTGACTTCCTCCTCGTGGACTCCCAAAGAATTTTTTTTTTTCCCCAAAGAATTTTTTAATATACTTTTATAACATTAAGAACCACGTGGACATGCAATCTTAGAAATAGCTGTTCCACCCAGCACATCGACTTTCTAAAAGCAGCTCTTAAGGTCTTGCTGCTCTTCTTCCCAAATCACTCCTGCATCTCGCCTCTTTGGGCTGTAGTACGTCTTCTTTAAAAACTCCCTTCACAGGCTCGGATGAGCACCTGCAGCATGAGGTTGCTGCTCCCTCCACCCACTGTGCACAGAGTGCGGTGGGTGTTACGAGGGGGGATCTGGACATGGTGCCCCTCCTTTATAACTTACGAAACGGGTCATACATACAAAGGAGAGCATGCTCTATGTGTATGCAGATACAGCGACTGTTTCTGAAAGTACCAACCAAGTTAAGATAGAATATTGCCAGTAGGTTAGAAGCTCTTGTGTCCTGTCTTTAAAGGAAATTTGCAAGCAGCAAGTTTGTGGTTTATGTTTGGTTTCATGAGTAATTTTATACACGCCTAGACTCCTGTAACTACCACAGACAGAGCACAGACAAACTCCAGTGCCCCAAAGAGTTTCCTCACTCTGCTCCTTGTATTCAGACCCTCCCCCACCCAAACCCCTAGAAACCACCGGTCTGTTCCTGTATTTTGGCCTTTTCCAAATTCTCATATAAATGGAATAAGTCAGCATGTGTGTTTTCAGGAGTTCTTTCACTTAGCGTCATGCATTTGAGATTCATCCATCTGGTGTTTCTTTTAAATTCTTTTGAACTTGGTCTCCCAGTAGCATGTAGGTCTCCCTTCCTGCTCTGTTATGTGCGTGCCTGCCTGAGTTGACAGGGCCTAGGCCACTTGGACAGCTTTCTTATAACATAGCTTCATAGAATTATTTTTATTTATATTGTTATTGATTTCAGAGAGTGAGAGATAGATAGAAACATCAATGATGAGAGAGAATCATTGATCGGCTCAATCCTATTTGGGATTGAGCTCGCAACCTGGACATGTGCCCTGACCGGGAATCAAACCCCTGACCTCCTGGTTTATAGTTGACGCTCAACCATTGAGCCACGCTGGCCAGGTTTCATAGAATTATTTAAGCAACTGATTTAGGAGTTGATGGATAGGTGTTGAAAAATTGTTACAGATCCCTTAACAATCTCTAATTTTCTT